TTTTAATTAAATTACAACTAAAAAAATATTTCTAAAAAATTGCACTTGTAGTTTTTCAAGTTTTTTACACGTGAAATTTTTTTTTTTTTTTTAATTGTTTAATTGAAATTTTTTCAATAAAAACATTTCTAAAAATTTTTAAATGTCAGCTAAATTTATTTTCATTTTTTTGAACTAAATTTCTATTTTATTTTATTGATAAATTTTTTTTTGAAAAATACATCAAAAAATGAACTTAAAAAAAAAAAATTATTCACAATTTTAAAAAATTTATAAATTTTTTAGAAAATTGTGATATTCAACTTATTTTTCTTAAATTATTCGTTTTTTTTCAAAAAAAATATCAAAAAAAAGATAAAATAGAAATTTTATCCAAAAACATAAGAGCCAAAATTTTTTTCAACTTTTAAAGGCAAAAAAAGCTATGGAAATTTTTTTTTCCTTTCACGACATTTTTTTTATCATAAATGCATTTTTTAAACCAACAAAAATTGTTTACTTTAAAAATTCTATTTAATTAAAAATAATTAAACTCTTTAAAATTATTTTCTTGGTTGAAAAAATTCTTTCTTAAATTGAATTAATTTTTTTTTCTAATATTTAATGATTAAAAATAAAAATAAAAAATGATAAAAATTTTTAGCATTGATATTATCTCAAAATTTCTAAGTAAAAAACAAAATACTACTTTACGATAATTTTGTTGAATTTTTAAAAATTTTCATAATTTTTCCCGAGAAAAAAAAATTAAAAATAAAATAAAATAAATAGAAAACTTTAAAATTAATCTATAATCCATAGATAATACAATAAAAGCCGTTGTACAAACAGAAAGAAGTAAGGAATAGAATACGCAAATGAAATCATTGAAATCTCCAATCTGAAATATGACTATACAGATATATACAATATAAAAACAGAGAGATATAAAATTAATATCAACCTAGTGGGAGTAAATATAAATAATATTTTTACCTGATAAGACAATTAGAGAGTAAATAGTAGCGAGTACAAATAACCAAATTTAAAAGCAATATAAAAATAATACAATTAAAATTAACCATAAGTCTTGCAGTAAGTGTTTAGTTGCCGATAATAGTGCAAGTCGCGTCACGTCATATCTCTGTGCTCTGTACTCGGTACTATTTAGCTCCAAAGCAACTCTCTAAAAACGCTCTTCTCAGTTAACTTGAGATTCTCGCGCGTTATGTTACAGAGCCTTCACTCCTATCCGATGAGCCCGGACCGCAGCTGCTCCACTTTGCCCAAACTCTGATTATTTATCAAATTTTTTCTAATAATTAATAGAAAAAAAAAATAAAAATAAATTAAAACTTAAAAAATGATAAAAACAACGAATAATTTAAAAACGACCGACAACAATGGTTGACACGTGATAAAATTTCAAATTTTAAATATGTGAGAAGTTATTTAATTGACAATTAACAATTAAAGTGCATTTAATTATTTTTTAATATTTTACACGGTAATAATAATAATAAAAGTGAGCGTCAAGAACGCTGTAATAATAAAGTTGATGTGGAAGCGGACGAGAAATTAAATTATTTATAATTATTTTAACAAAAAATGTTTGTCAAACGCGAGTGCATTTATTAGTTGATTAATTAATTAATTATAAAGTTGAGTAAAGGTACAACATGCTGTTTCTTAAAGTATTGAATAATAGTTTAAAGATTGATTAAACGCCTTCACCTTATATTAGCAGTGTAGGATCCAATTTAAGTACTGATAGGGATTCAAGCACTAATATAAGCTGTGACGGTCTTCCGAGGCTTGATAAACTTTGCTGCATTTAATTATTGTTAAAAGTGATAACCTAGGATTTAGAATTTGTTAGAATTTAAAGAATAAGTTGGTTAATAAATGAAACAAAGAAGTGAAAAGTTAGTGACAAGTTGGTAGGAGGATGAGACAAGATTCAATAAGCGACCTGTCGTTAAATGTGACGAGAGCACACTTACCTCTCGCCCTGGAACAATGAGCTCCATAGACTTTGATGAGGTCTTGGTGCATGTCGGTGAGAAGGGCCGATATCAAAATATTATGTACTATCTCTTATGCATACCGGCTACGCTACCAGCGGCTTTCTTGGCCTTTTCTCAGGTAATTTGTTCTATTTTTTTATATTTATAACTAATTTTAACTTCGCGACTGATCATTTCGGCTGTTCAATTTTAAAACACAGTAACTGCAAAATTTTTGATTTTTTTTTTTTTAATTAAATTAAAACTAAAATAATTTTTTTAAAAAATTGCACTTGTAGTTTTTCAAGTTTTTTACACGTGAAATTTTTTTTTAATTGTTTAATTGAAATTTTTTCAATAAAAACATTTCTAAAAATTTTTAAATGTCAGCTAACTTTATTTTCATTTTTTTGAACTAAATTTCTATTTTATTTTATTGATAATTTTTTTTTTTTTTGAAAAATACATCAAACTAACATTTAAAAATTTTTTTCAATGTTTCTTATTAAAAAGAAATTTACCCGCCAAATTAATGACAAATCTGATTTATGAATTAAAACTACTCAAATATAAATATTTTTAAGAAAAAATACTTGAAATTAAGGTTTAAAAGTTATAAAAAATCCAGCAATACTAAAAAAAAATCAGGTATAAAAATTTTGCAGTTACTGTGTTTTAAAATTGAACAGCCGAAATGATCAGTCGCGAAGTTAAAATTAGTTATAAATATAAAAAAATAGAACAAATTACCTGAGAAAAGGCCAAGAAAGCCGCTGGTAGCGTAGCCGGTATGCATAAGAGATAGTACATAATATTTTGATATCGGCCCTTCTCACCGACAATTTTAAAACACAGTAACTGCAAAATTTTTGATTTTTTTTTTTTTTTAATTAAATTAAAACTAAAATAATTTTTTTAAAAAATTGCACTTGTAGTTTTTCAAGTTTTTTACACGTGAAATTTTTTTTTTTTTTTAATTGTTTAATTGAAATTTTTTCAATAAAAACATTTCTAAAAATTTTTAAATGTCAGCTAACTTTATTTTCATTTTTTTGAACTAAATTTCTATTTTATTTTATTGATAATTTTTTTTTTTTTGAAAAATACATCAAACTAACATTTAAAAATTTTTTTCAATGTTTCTTATTAAAAAGAAATTTACCCGCCAAATTAATGACAAATCTGATTTATGAATTAAAACTACTCAAATATAAATATTTTTAAGAAAAAATACTTGAAATTAAGGTTTAAAAGTTATAAAAAATCCAGCAATACTAAAAAAAAATCAGGTATAAAAATTTTGCAGTTACTGTATTTTAAAATTGGGCAGCCGATTTGTTCTATTGAAAAATTTTATGTTGGGTTATTGACAAGATTGTAATAACTGTTGACTGTTAGCTTTTCGTTTTCGTTTTAATAGATGTAATTATTATACGCTATCGGCATTTTGTCGAACTGGTATGCTAATTGTTCTTATTATCGGTATACTTTGTTTACTATTGATTTATTTATTTTTAAGTAAAGTTTTGTTTACTTAAAATTAAAAAAAAATTTTTTTATTCATTCTAAAAATTCTCGAATTTATTGGAAGAATTTTATAAAAAATTTTATATTATTGCGCCAAAAAAAACAAAAATACTAGTAATATTTAAATTAAAAAAAAAAAGGAAATTTATTTTTATTTTATAATTTTCTGCTTTAAAAATTGAATTTTAAAATTTTGAATTTTTTTAAAATAAACTCTTAGAATGCTAAAATGTCGGATTAAAAAAAAAGTTTACAAAAATGTAACTAAATTAAATAATTTTCAATGTTTATTTTTAAAAGTTTAATTTTTGGAGCAAAAAATTAAAAAATACAAGAACAATTATTTTTATTACCGCCTTTTTGGTTCACGTTTTGCTAGATGAAAATTTTTTAAGATATTTAGATAATATATAACTCAGTGAAAAATTAATTAATTAATTAAATTTACATATAAATTTAATTAAAAATTTAAATGAAATAGAGATAGACCATTTAATAATAAAAAATCAATTTAAAGTCATTATTCAATATTGTTAATAGAAAATAATAATTTAAATGAGATCAAAATGATAATTGTAATTATTAATTATGTTGAAAGAAGTAATTGAAGCATTTTTAAATTCAACCAAATTATCTACAGCCACAGTCTGATTTTATTTATCAACATTTTCTCTCATACATAAATAAGTAATAATATCCTTAATTAAAAACTTATACTCTAATTTACATTTATGTTTTAAATTGTCATCAATGATGATCTTCTCAAAAATCAGTAATTGAAAAAATATAAATATTTCCTATATACTATTAATTTTCTCTTAATATACTATAACAATATTATTAGTAATGTAATTTAAATATTTAATGGTATGGAAAAATTAAAAATTTGAAAATATAAAAAAATCATTGCAACATTAAGTTGCCTTTTTGAGGCGTTGTCATACATAACACAATAAGCCTGCGGTATACCGATAATAATAATAATAATAATAATAATAATACACGGAAAAAAGAAAACTCGAAAAATTACAGTATATAATATAACGTCGCGCTTCGTGATAAAAACTAAAAAAATTACAGTTTCAGATTCTAATTATTACAGATTTTATAAGAATTACATTGTAGAGTGTAATATTTACATTGAAAGCTCTAAAAATTAATATTCAAAGTTTGAATTTACAATATTGTTATTTCGAACTGTAATTTTTCTAGTTTTTATTACAACCATATTTCTGCAATTTTTATTTTTTAAATGGTTAATATCTTAATGACTTAAAAAAAAAATTATTCTATTTATTTATTTCACATTTTATACTGTAATTACACACAAAAAAAAATTTACTTGAATCAAGTAAATAATTTTGAAGAATTTTATCTTCTTGATTTAAGTAGAAAAATTCTTCAACTAAGAAATTTTTCTTGGTTTAAGTAAATTTTACTTGATTCAAGAATTTTTTGCCTTGATCCAAGACAATGAAACTCTTCAAAATTATTTTCTTTATTTATTTATTTATTTATTTATTTAGATATAATAAGACCCAACAGCTATGAGGCCAGTAACAGGGTCATTGAAAGTTTATACATAGTATTACAAGTTAATACAGGGTATATCTTAGTAACTAAAAAGCGTAGTACAAGCAGTAATTAAACTTAGATAAAAAAGTGCATCTATAAATTAGTTATTTTACATTAATTATAGAATATAATACGATATAAATAAAATTTATCAATTTCTTGATTTAAGAATTTTTCTCTTGATTCAATTGCACGCCTCATAGCGCGAAGCGCGTGAGGTTGTGCTTTATACTCGACTCGTCAAGGTCAAGCAATTTTGGGATCTTTAAATGTCTCTATCACAACCATAATATATTACACTTATACAATGATATAAGTAGATGTACACCGAGAA